TTTGAAAAAATTTAAGAATACTACGGGACAATACAATTGCGACAATCGATTCTTAATTTTTTTTTTTAAAAATTTGAAAAAATTCAAGAATACTATGGGACGATACGATTGGGAAAATCGATTTTTCGCAAAAAAATGCCGTTTCAAAGCATCACGCGATGTAACAGTTACCAGAACAGGTACACAGTTCAAGAACCAGATCGTGAAATAACACATGTTTATCCTGTTTCATGTATTTCTGATAATCTCTTTCATGTATTTCTGATAATCTCACCCCAATTCGAGCTTGTGCCTTTCACAAAAATTCTCCCCCGCCCCTTTCACTTAACACTTCCTACTGTTTTGGTGCCCCATAAGCTAAATTTCGATTCTTTTTCCATCAAAATTTACGCAAAATTTGTTACTTTTCTGAGGGCTGGCTTTTCTTCTCCTCCTCCTTCAAGAGACTGATGGAAATGTAAATTTCTGTACTGACGTTAGGAAGCTGTACTGATGATTCCCACACCTATCCGTATGCAGTGTTCGGTCTGTGTTTACAACTAAGGGATGAAAAACATGCTACGTCTAACATTTCTGTTTGCATATGACATTGAGATAGACCCCTTACTTTTTCTCCAAATATTTCATAAAAAAAAAAAGCAAAAGGCCATACAGGATATTGCACTGATGGCTCGAGCAGCAACATTTCTCAGTGGAGTTGGATGGCAAAGTAATTTTGAAGCCGAACGGCTGACGTTCGTCAAAATACGTGAAGCCATGCGTCGCGCGAATGCCCACTGAAAATCACAGTAGTACAGTGAAAATGAAAAGCTTCATGCTGAAGCGTGATGTCCGAAATCCCGAGAATGGTAAGTTGCGTGCATTTTTCTCAGCCTAGGAGTCGACTGGCTGGCTTGAAACCCACCCAAACCTCTCCAAAAATCGTGATTCGATTCGATGGAAAACATTGCATAGTGGGGGGACTAAAATCTTCATTTTGGGCCACTTATGTTTTTGTTTACTCACAAAAACGGCAGAACTTCGAAACTTCTTTTCACATGTATTTCCACTGAGCTTAGAAGCAGTCCCAGCAACAGCACTTTGACAGTACTGTATATTGGCAAAGGCTATCGATGGCTCCTTCCTGCAAAGTAAATTGCCAAGAAGCAAGCCGATGGTGCCCTAGCATATATGTCAGTACTAATTTACCATCGAAACGAATGAACGAATTGTACAGCAACTGCTTATCCGATGACGAAGTTGAATGCGCAG